GGCAGGAGCTCTGGGAGAAGCGATCTCCCAGTTGCCGTGCGGGCAGCTCTCGTGCAGGAGATGGAACTCGCTGTTGCAGGCGACCGCTTCTCTGACGAAACGGAGTTCTTCAGTTACTTCGCCAAGAAGTTCGCTCTGCCGAAGAAGCGAGTCAAGACTCTGTGGCTGCAGCGGAGCTTGGTCAAGAAGACCTCTCAAAAGAACAAACTCTCACGCAAACCCCACCGCTACACTGGTGCCAAGGGCACCAAGAGGTCGCATCTCAAGCGTGCGTACAGAGGCTTTCGTCTGCCAGGAGCGGGTCGGAAGCACTCTTTCCCCGACTTGGTGGACAAGGCTCGTGAGTGGTTCAACGAGATGCGCTCTTACGGGAACCAGGTGCTTCGAGTGGACCTCTACAACTACTACATCCACCTCATGGAGATGGACAAGATACGGGTGCAGGCGGATCTCTCTGATCCGAAGCTGCTGCAGCCAAAGCGGACGCCTCTGCAGGTGAGGCTCTCGGAGCTGGACAAGCAGCTGGCCTCTCAGAAGAAGAGCGACAAAGCCAAAGAGTCTCTGAAAGGTCGTCTCGAGAAGTGGTGCTCTGCAAGGAACTTGAGGCCTCACCTCGTCACCAAGCTCACGCCTCTCCAAGAGCAGTCGAGATGCCACTTGACGTGGCAATCTTTCGACAGGGCTCTCTGGCTTGCTGCCTGCTCTGACGAGGAGACTCTGGGGAAGCACGTCTCTAAGCCAAAGCAGTTCTTGGAACACAGAGCCTCTCTCGCGATCCTTTTCGCCGATCAAATTCCGCTCTGGATAAAGGCGGGTGCCGAGAGGTCTCTCTTCGCCGAGTGGGAGCGAAAACCCACCTCTCAGGCGGCTCTCCGGCAGGACTTGGCTGCTCTGCACGACAAGCAACTCTCTGGGCAGGCGGACGTGGACTCTGGTCTGGTTGTGCAGCACCCAGACTCTTCCGGAGATGCTCAGGGTCAGAGGCAACTCCGCTCACGCCAGGACCTCTCTGCAATGTTTTACTTGGGTCGTTTCTGTTATAATTCATAACCTTATTCCTGCCGGCAGGAGCCTCTCGCGGACCGCTTCCGCCTCACTTACGAAGCCCGGCAGGTCTTGTTGAACTACAACTCTCCGGGAACGCCGCCGACTGGCCTCTGTTACAAAGGTCTCATCATCATCAGCGGGCCTCATGCCAGACTCTCGAACATCTCTCAAGACGGCAAGTGGCTCTGCGATGAGACCTTTGAGTGGAGAGGGAACCTTGTCTCTCACAAGAAGGGCACCTCTGTTGGCAGGCTCATGGAGCCATGGAGAGCTCTGCGAGCCCAGAAGCCGCACCTCTTTGAGCACGTCTCTGTGATGATGCAACCGAGCTCTAATGCCGACAGCATCATACTCTCCTGGGTGGCCCAGGAACTCTCAGAGGCGTTTCCAGCTCTGCTGGTGCAGAGGGACTGCCTGGGAGCCTCTTTCACAGAGTCTGTCTCTGGTGCCCACTTCTTGGGGAACACGATCCAGACTCTGGTCGCTCCGAAGATGACGGCCTCTCTCCAGTTGACGGACACAGCCTCTCGCATGCACTGGTCTTTCTGTTTTTGTTTCGAGCTCTCAACTCCCAAACCCATTCTGAGGACTTCTCTCGCAGATTCAAGTCTCTGTGCCGCACCTCTATGGCGGAGAGGAGGTCTCTGGGCCAGAAGGCTCTGACAGAGAGCGGCAAATCCTCTGTCTGGGCTGCCTCTGTGGAGGACATCTGCGAGACCATCGTCTCTGCCCAGAAAGCCTGTGCCGAGGATGCCTCTGACTGGGTGCTCTCAGGGCTTCGGCGGAATGGCATGCTGGCCTACCGCCCTCTCGACGGCAAGCTCCAGCCGGCGGAGCTCTCCACGCCCTCTTTCAAGGACCTGCCGCAGGGCTCTGCAAGACTGCGAAGCGAATGGCTGGAACCACGCTTTGGCTGGGTGCAGGATGGAATCCCCTCTGAACCAGACTGGTCTCTGATTCCTGGCACGGCCGCTGCCCAGGAGCTCTTGGACTGGGACGTCGCTCACGGCGACAAGAACTCTGCATCTCTTCTCAAATCAGCATAGCTGTATGTTCTTGAATTAATTAGTCAAGTAATTTTGTCAAACGTCCCCTAACCCGATTTTCGAAGCTCTGAACAAGATTCACCATCCAGGAGGAGGACTACTTCTGTGACATGGACTCTCTGCCACCAACTCTTCGGTGGAACTGCTTCGAGAGCGGCGTTCTCAAGCTCCCGCCAGCTCTCTTGCAGAAAGCCTGGAAGAGGGAAGCTTCTCTCGCGGTGGAGGAGAAAGCGAGAATCCTCGCAAAGAAAGCTGAGAGACAGCTCGTCTCTCAAGCCAAGCGGTCTGTCTCTGAGAAGTTCAAAGAGGCGATGCGGCTCAAGCTGAAGGACATCTCTCGCCAGCAAGCTCTCGCTCTCCACGTCCCTGAAGCAGGGAAGGCGAAAGCCAAAGCGAAGCCTGCCTCTGGGAAGGCCGGCTCTCTGACGAAGGCTCTGAAGAAGGGACTCAAGAAGAGCTCTCTAAAGACAGCTGCCGCTCTGTTGGCGGGCTCTCAGAAGAAGGTCCAGGAGCTGATCTCTGCACCAGAGCCTCCGAAGACTCTGCAAGGCCCTCTCTTCGGCAAGCAGGTCCGCATCGTGGCGGAGCTCTCGCCCTCTCACCTTGTGGGCCAGGAGGGCAAGGTCTCTTCGCACCTCTCTCAGAAGCTGACTCTGCCGAGCTTTGGTCTGGCCTGTGCAACTCTGAACCTCTCGGAGAAGGATGTGATGCCTCTCTCCGAGAGCTGGACAAAGTCTCTGGAGTGGCAGCCTCTGCGGCTCTCCAGACTCTTCAAGAAGGAGGTGCTCTTGAACTGTGGTCTCTGGTGCGAAGACGACTCTTTCGTGCCGGAGCCCGTGGAGGTTACTCTTGCCAAGAAGCCGAAGATGCTCTTGGACCAGCAAATGAATGCTGCCTGGGCTCTCGTCCGCCACCACTTCGAGCAGAAAGGACCCTGCTCGTCTGTTTTGTAAGGACTCTGTCGTTGCATTTAGGACTCGTACTTAATGACTGTTTCTGACAGGAGAGAGCCTCTCGGACGTGTTCTTCGTGGACGCCTTCCTCTCCAGCTTTCTCTTGCAACACGAGAAAAAGGAGTACCTGATCGCTCACCTACAGACGCAATGGCAGGAGCACAACCTCCTCTTCATTCCGATCTACACACGGAAGCCAGACCACTGGACGCTGCTCGTCCTCCAGAAGGGCTCTGAGGGCGAACCGCCCAAAGCTCTCCTCGCCGACTCTCTGAAGAAAGACAAAGCTCCGACAGCATGTGCAAATGAGCTGAAGGGTCTCTTAGCCGACGTGGACAAGTCGCCTCTCACCGACTACCCGACGGTGACCCAGACCTCTGACGACTGCGGCTTCTTCTGTCTCGCCGTGATGGTGGAGTACCTCTCCCTCCGCCGTGGCGAAGGGCCCAAGCAGAGGGGCTCTCAGCACTCTCTAGTGGCGGATCTGAAGACCAAACTGTCGACCTTCACCTCTCAGCTGAAGGCCGAAGTCAAAAAGCTCTCGGACGAGAAGGAGGAATATCTCATGGACCAGGCCGTTCAACTCAAGAAGGCCTCTGACAAGGCGAAACTCTTGGCGAAAAAGGCCGAGGCGGAAAAGGGCGAACTCTCGGCTTTGCAGAAGGCTGCTCTCAAGGTCCTGAAGGAAGGTGCTCCACCGGATGTCTCTGATTTGGGCAAAGAAGCCCTCGTGGACATCGAGCGGATCAAGACTCTCGGAGATCCAGGGGTGTGCTCTCGCTGTCACTGGCAGAGCGGCTGTGCCTCTTGCGATGTCTTTAAGTGCACTCGCTTCCACGTGCGAGAGCTCTGCCGCACTCTGGGCAAGAAGCCCCCAGCTTGGGCTCTCTGATCGCGAAATTTCTCTGCGCAAGATTGAAAATCGCAGCTGAAGCTCTGCAGTTTCTCTCTCTCTGCAGACCTCAAACCATCGCAGTAGCTGCATTTTCTCTCTCTCTCTCTGCAGACCTCAAGCCCTCGCAGTAGCTGCATTTTCTCTCTCTCTGCAGACCTCAAGCTCTCGCAGTAGCTGCAGTTTCTCTCTCTCTGCAGACCTCAAGCTCTCGCAGTAGCTGCAGTTTCTCTCTCTCTGCAGACCTCAAGCCATCGCAGTAGCTGCAGTTTCTCTCTCTCTGCAGTCCTCAAGCTCTCGCAGTAGCTGCAGTTTCTCTCTCTCTGCAGACCCCAAGCCATCGCAGTAGCTGCAGTTTCTCTCTCTCTGCAGTCCTCAAGCTCTCGCAGTAGCTGCAGTTTCTCTCCTTTTCTCTCTCTCACACAACAACACACAACAAGAAGTATCTAATTTCGGGGATTTTGGGCCGGAAGGTTTTGTAATTGAGGGGGGGTTTATAATTGAGTTCCGGGGGTGGGGTTTTGTAATTGAGGGGGGATTTATAAAAAGTAGGTTAACATTACTACTATTGTTATTATTATTATTACTCTGATTTTTATTACTATTATTATCATTATTATTACTATTATTGTTCTTATTCTTCTTCTTATTATTATTATTACTATTATTATTATTAGTATTATTATTAATATTATTATTATTACTACTATTTTTATTATTATTATTCTTATTATTATTCTTTTTTTATTATTATTATTATTATTATTATCATTATTATTATTACTATTATTCTTATTCTTATTCTTATTCTTATTCTTATTATTATTATTACTATTATTACCCTTACAGTTGAACTTGTATGCTCCAGCCTGGGCTCCCAACCTTTGAACCCTCGAGAACCGAAGAAACGCCAGTCACTCCAAAGCCTCAGGTCCCCTAGCTACACGGTTTAGGGTTTAGGGTTTAGGGGTTTAGGGTTTAGGGGTTTAGGGTTTAGGGTTTAGGGAGGTTTGCGCAACCGGAAAATAAATTAGATCCTACCACATGCACATTGATGGGGAGGCGCTTGTCGCCGCGGTGAAAGCGCGCGACGGCGTCGCGGCCAAGGTGGGACATGCAGTTTAATTTGTGGCACAGGCCAGGCCCCCAATTCCACCATGAAACCATGACCACGACTTGGGTGTCGTTGAAGTTGTTTCAGGCTCAAGGAGTGTCGGCTAAGGCTCTGTGGCTAAGGCGATCTCATGTCAGAGGATTGTCGACTTGAGTTTAGGGCTTCTCAGGGTTTGTACAATCGGCCATAGTTGGTTGGAGCCATTCGCTTTGTTTATTTTTAAAGCTTTTCGCTCCAAAGCTGTGCTTGGCTTGAAGGTGTCGTGACTTGGGGTTCTCCTTTGAGCAGTAACATGTCGTGGGAGAAGCACCTGCCTAGATACTGCAGGGACAAGTGCTTCTATTGGCAAGGGATTGGTTGTTGTGTGGCTGTGATTGTGGCGCTTTCTCTAGAGCGGTGTGAGCCTAGCTTTGGAGAGGAAGCGGAGCAGAAGATCAACTCCTATGGCGCCCTTGTGACGGACAAGGACTTTCTACGCCGTGCGGGCTCAGATGCCCCGCCTTCAGAGGTTGTTTAGGGATCCGCATGTACAAGGTCTGTTTCAGTGCTGCCGGACTGTGCTACTGCTACTGGTATGCCTCAAATTCGAAAGTCCTCGACCCGAGACCTACGCCCTAAACCCAACCCTTGACCCCCTTGGAAACTCTGCCCTTCCCTGTCAGGACATTGCTGATCACGTTGTGCCGCTCATCAGCAGAGATCCTGAAGCCACCACTTTCCTCAGGCGGGCACAATCATACGACTGATGCTAATATTTGCTCTTGAAGCAATGCACATACACTTGTATACACATGCAAATGCAAACAGACCTATCCAAACGCAAATGGTGGGTAAATGGGTAAGTACATGAACGAAAAATGAGATGTGTGTACTTACATTTTTGCACATACAGACAAGTTACACAATTCTACAACTGTGTAATCAGATAGAAGGTGAATATTATATGTGGTGAGCATATCTATGCGAGTGTGTGTGTGTGTGTGTTTGTGGTTATACATATGTATATGTAGGTATGTATGTATATAAAACGCACACATGGCCTTTCTATGTGTGTGTGTGTATAAAGAACAGACACACACACACACACATACATGCGCAGCTTTTTCGGCATGGCTCCAGCTATTCTCTCCTGGCAGGGAGGAGCTCGGCTGGGATCTCGAGAAGCCCTACACGTGGCACTCTCAGTCTCTGGCATTTTGGGTTTATAGGGTTTAGGGAGGGAGTAGGCGGGGATTTGTTTCGATCCAGTGGCGGTATCTTGAGAGTTGCTGGCACAGGCGTTTGCCAAGTCTTTGGCGTTGAGTCAAACAAGATCCCGAAGTGTAGGTTGCAGGATTCACGGGTTCAGAGGTTTGGGTTTAGGGATTACGCAAGGACTCTAGGGTTTAAGCACTGGGATCCGTCTTTGTTGTTCCTCCCTTGCGGCCTGGCTGGGGATCTGAGGGACCGCTCTGACTCGTTCCCAGTGGCAGCAACAGCAGCATAGGTTATGGGTTCAGGGTTTGAGGTTTATCGCGTTTCGGATTTAAGGTTTAGGCTCAGGGGTTAAGGCCTTGGGGCTTTGGCACTTGTAGTATTGTAGTAAACTTGCTGCGGGTACAGCGGTGCATCAAGGCAGAAACAGAATGGCCTGGCTGTGGCCTCAGCGGCTGGCGCTCTGTTCGTGTCATCTACGATTCCTGCATTAGTACAGGATTACCACTCAACTGATCCCTGAGCCTACATTCCAGGTTCTATTCGACTATTCCGAAACCCTGAACCCCAAACCCTAAATCCTAAACCGCCTCTGTCATTGTTACCTTCGGATTGTGCGCTGCAAGCCTTCAGTTGCTTAGTCTAAAGTGTTCCGTGATGTATCGTACACCACATAGGCACATAATTCGGTTCAAATTAAACGCATAAACACGTAGATGTATACATATACATACAAGTATATACACACATACACATATGTATACATATATATATATATATGGATATACATATACACCTCGCATGTAGTAAACCGTTTTCTACATCTGGCAATAGTAGCATTATTCCTTTGTAGTCCCGACACAACTATGGTATCATGCACCCGACACCCTACTGCAGCTTTCGGGCGCCTGGATTAGGTTTGTTGCTGTCAAGTCGTGCAGCTGTACACGGTTTAGGGTTTAGGGCCCCCCATCCTCGCCGAGTCGCCAGGGTCCCGAAGCCCTGCGGTTTAGGGTTTAGGGTTTAGGGTTTATGGTTTAGGGTTTAGGGTTTAGGGTTTATGGTTTAGGGTTTAGGGTTTAGGGTTTCCTGGTCTAGCCCTAGACCGTCAAACCTTATTCTACGCTTTTTTGCCACACAATTGCTCGTAATGCTCTTGTTAAAACAGCTGATCGGGTGGTGGTGTTTTAAAAGCCAAGGATTGAAGATAGCTTCTTAAAGCTTCCTGGGCTTCTTGTGAGAATGCATGTATGCAGAAGGTCCCAAAGCAGATATACATGTTTGCATATTATACGTACATACATACGTGTGTACATACATGTGTATATATATATATATATATATATTATACATATGTACATACACATATATGGATACAAAGTTAACAAATCAGTGTCTTTACATATGTACATATATGGTCATATATACATAAACATATGTGTATTCGTATATATATATATATATACACACGCACATATACGTACTATTCAAAAATAGGTTTGTGTGTATACATATGTGTATAGATGTACAGGTATAGAGTTGTTACAGGTCCGTAGGGCGCTGGACTTGTGTAGTGTCGCGGGGCGACTTCAGGGTACATAAGAGTCGGGTCGGAGGTAAGATGCATCCAGTTTCAGGTGTGCTTCTAACTTCCCTACCCGCCATAGCCATGCCTGAATCCTTCTCACAATTCCCAACCAAGCCCAGAAGTCTTTCGAACAAATGTCGGCAGCCCGGAAAAAAGCAAGCCTGTGCAGCACCTGCAGCACCATAGAAAAGAGCCTAACACCATAAACAGTCCCTAAACCCTAAACCCTATCCCGGCCAAGAGCTTGCTCGACCGCACAGAAAGAAGCCATTGCACTTTAAAAAAAAAAAAAACCTATCCCGGAAAAATATTCAAGCGAAGGCCACAGCCGCAGCCTGAACCCCGACAGCCCCGCACGCCCCTGCGAAAAGCATAACCAAGCCCCTGCAAGCTCTGTTGCGTGCTGAAAGCAGTCCCAACAAGCCCACAGACGCAAAGCCCCGAACCTGAAAACGCTCAGGAAGAGCCGTGAAGCTAGATATGTCCTCGTTCTTCTCGCGTGGGACGTCTGATGACAACTTGCATGAAAGCAGCTCAATATTCAAGCCTCAAGTCCAAAGCCCTAACCACACCGCACAAATTTTCAAGACAGCCCAACACAAACACAAAGTGACACCCCACCGTCTAAGCCCTAAACCCTAAGCCAACGAAAAACCCTAAGCCGCCAACCAAAGGAAGTCCGCCACCTGGACTTCTACCTCGCGCATCGGCTCACAGGTGTGCCGGCAAACGGTTTTTAGGATTTGAGTTTCGGGGCTTATGGGGCTTTGGGCTTATATGGCTCAGGGCTTATAGGGTTTATGCATAGATGTATACACATGCACACGCAGAGTTTTGTTGTGTTCGCTTGTGGTGTATCTTTCGGGGTTGAGGGTGAAAGGCTTTGAGGGGGGTTGAGGTCTTCAATCTGTGGCCTTTAGGGTTGACTGTTGACTGTCACTGTTTTGGTGCTACGGCTTTTCTGTTATTCTAATTCACAACTTTGGGTTTGGATGCCTGAAAATTTCAGGGTCCAGGGATACTACCTATGTCTCCGTTGCAGTTCCTTTTTTTGTTAGCATACTTCATGGTTAGGATCCCAGAATAGACCTGGAGATGGTAGCTGAATGTGGGGCTTGAATCCCGGCGAGTAGCGCTTTGCGATGCTGGGCATTTGAGGTTGGATCTCTGAGTTTTTCGGTCGTCGAAGGCAGTTGGAACCATACACTCGAGAATAGGCACACCCTGTTGCATGTGCACATAATATGTGTATATACGCATGTGTATGTGGATGTGCTGTGCATGTATGGTGCATGCATGGATGGATGGATATGTGTATATGTACCTGCATATGCATGTGCATATAGGTATGTGTATATGAGTGTGTGTGTATGTGTATGTGCATGTGCATGTGTATGTGTGTGTATGCAATTGCACATGCAGATGTGCGTGCCTATGTATATGTGTATGTGCATCTAGATATGCACGCACTGATTTTGTACATCGGAGACAGAGAAGCACAGAGAGAGAGACAGAGAGACAGATCCAGATGGTCCATTGCGGCACCGACCGCCTCTGAATGGTTGGGGTTTAGGGTTTAGGCGGTTTAGGGTGTTGGGCGAATCACATGCTATGACTTCGTTTGGAGACGGTGACGCTCGATGTAGGATAAGGTGACGGGTCTAGGGGCACGAACGCGGTCTCACAAGAAAGTCCAAGTAACACTTTCTCAGAGCTCCTGCTGGAGGTATGGGATTTGGGCCACAGTTCAAGGTGGCTGCAGCCTCAGCGGTTCAACACGAAAGCTTTGCTCGACTCGATGGCACGCGTGGTTAATGTCAATGACTGGTCCTTGTATGATGAGAGCTCGTGCCTGTGCGCCTGTTGCTGCTAGCCCCGAGCTCCCAGTTTTGCTCAGTGCAACATGCCCGTCCGCGTGACGGGCTCCTATCCGGTCACGGTCGCCGTGAACCAGCTCCCAGAGACAGAGGCCGGAGCACCCTTGCTGCTATGGTTTTTCCTTGTTGTCGCTACGTGCTGGCGATAAACGAAAACCACCACGGTATCATCATCATCATGACTATCATCATTATCACTCCCAGCATGCTACGATAAGGCTCGGGCGGTCGGTGGCGACAAGAATAAGAAAGTGATGGTCGGCATGATGCTGGGAAGGGTGGTGAGCATGGTCACGGTGCTGATGCTGGTGCTGAGGCTGAAGCTCAGGCTGATGATGATAATGACGATGATGAAGATATCGACGGTTGGGCTCATGGTGACGTTGTCCGTTGTGTAAACTTTGGATGTTTGTGGTATCTAAGACGACAATGGCACAGAACCGTTCGTCATAGTTCGGATTAAGCTGCTGCCGCTGCCATCATCGGCCTCGGATACGCGTAACGATGTATGTAACATCATGTGAGCATTTTTTCGTATGCTTGCTCTCAACTTTTTTGTGTTCCAGGAGTTCTCTAGGTCAACTTGGCTTCAACACAACCCTGAACTTCAAACCTTGCGCCCGGAACAGGCCTGGCAAATGGAGATGATGTATCGTCCTGGCCAGATCCCCGGTTCGGGTCTTTGGGGATCCATGTAATGAGGATTTCTACACCGGTCTGAATAGTTCCCACTAGTGTCTCCTAATAGTCCTTCTGACCATGGTATAGTATGTGCCCCCAAAGCCTTAATCTACGTTTTATCTAGGGCCACTGTGTTATCGGGGTTTCAGGCTTCACCTTTTTTCTCGGTTTGTTCTTCCGATGTAAGCCCGGCAATGTTAAGTTGACGCTGGCCCGCAAGCTGCTGCGCCCTGGTTCAGTCCTTGTTCCTGGAAGCTTCACCGAGACGCTTAATCGCCGGACCCTCAGAACCCAAAATGCTACATCAGGCTGCAAGCCCATAAGCACCCTCTAAAAAGATAGTTCATCTCAGAGAGTAAAGCTGAACCCTACACCTTAAATCCTCAACCGTAATCCTAAACCGTAAACCTTCGAACCTTAAGTCCTAAACTCTATAAGCCCTAGCTAAGCCTGAAACCCAAGTGCTATAAATCCTAGTTCCTAAATCTCAATCCCGAAATCCTAATGCCTAAATCCTAACCCCTTAACCCTAAGTCCCAAACTCCAAGCCTCGATTCCAAAACGGCCAGGCTTCCTGGATGCTGGATTGCAGAGTGGCTTCGTGATGGCGCCTTTCTTCGACAGATGAGGCTCGATCGCTGCCGGTAATACATATATGTATGTATGTATGTATATATATATATATATATATACATATATATACATATATACGCATACGTGTGCGTGTATATATGTGTATATTTACACGTAAAAGTATAAAAGCACTCTATATATATGTATATGTATATACATACTTCTTTATTCATTGATTTATTTATAATATTTATGTGTATATAGTTGTGCTTTCTATGCATTTAGCATGCTTGAGGGTTCAGAGATTTAGTGGTCTGAATTGCTTGGTCAGAGTCTGCTACTACAATATACCGACAGGCCCGATTCTTACCATGATGACTCCACCTTTGCCTTGAGGCTTGGTCTTCGTCAACTGAAGGGCAGACCTTGCAGACGGGCTCGGCAGCGTCTCGGGAGGAGAGCAACACTACGCAGAGCTTAGGGGTTGAAGCTTCATATGGACGGAAGGAGTGGGCTGTACATGGTCGAAAAAGTACGCCTTGCGAAAAGGAATACGTACCTGGATTAAAAGAGACGTCAATCGTGTCATGCTTTCGCTCCTGAGCTGAGTCCATCGCTGAAGCTTTCGACCCTTAGCATCAGCAGCGAACGCTGGTAGACATCTTCCTTCTTTGAGCGTTTGCGAAAGGAGGCTTGCAAGCTCCCATGCCAAGAGACTTCAGGTCCACTTGAGTTTTAATGTAAGACTTGGCAAACACGCGATAGTTCAGTTCGAATATTTATACACGTATGTTTCTGTATATGTGTGTGTAAATATGTAGAACTGTTCATCTATCTGTGTATCTGTCTATCTATCTATGTATTTATCTATCTGTCTATATACCTTTACATATTTCCAGATCGATCGGTGAGCATTGATCTAAAGGTCTTTGCCTTCGTGTAATGTGACCGATCCAGCTAAAGTCGGGTTTCACAACCTGCACCCTGAAACCATACACGGTCATCCCAAACCTAGAACATTAAGATCCTAAAACATAAGCCAAATGCCCCTGCTCTTTGCCTTGGGAGTTGTGCAAGCCCAGAGACATGGCAAAGGCAGCTGAGGCAGAAGCATCCTAAGCTGGCAACGCCATCTCAGAGCCCAAGTGGCTTTCATAGGTTCCAGAGTAGTACCCATAAAGGGCTCCTTAAAGGGTTCTAAAAAAGATCTATGAGGTTTAGCATCGAAGCCATGACATGTAGCTATGGTTGCTAATCGTCGTGCCGCTCCCTGGTTGTGCATGATCAGGATCAGGACGAATCTAACATGAAATTACGAGCACCACCCCAGCTGGCAGAGCAAGTCACGCCCCAAAGCCTGCATCCAGATTCGTTGCATCGGACCTGCCCACTTGGACCCTAAGCCTAGATCTCTACTCAGAGGTAACCTCTAAGCCCTACCTTAACCCCACATAACCTACCTTTTTAGGGACTTACATAAAGAAATCATATTAGGGGGCCCTAGAAAAGGTAGGTTCCTTAGGGTCCAGGTATTCCCTAAAACCCCAAGCCCCTAAACCCCTAATTAAACCCTAAACCCCTAAACCCCTAATTAAACCCTGAACCCCCTGAACCCCTAGACTGAAACGCCCTGAAAGGCCATCAGCCCGCCCCTGTAGATCCACAGCCCCAAGCACTGGCCCCGCCTATAGGCTTCAAGAGCGCGCTTTCGAAGGAAAATGGCTGCAGAGCCTGCCCTGCATCAGAGCTCAATACCAGGGTTCCTGCATGCTGAGATTACGGGTCCTTTGTGTACGGTAACATGTTGCATTTACACCTCAGGCAGGCCGCTAACGGTCCCTTTTCTTATTGTTTCATAAAGGTCCGCCCCTATGTCTCGAAACTCCTTCGCAGGTATGGTCAATTTCAAGGCCACTCTAGCTTGGGAATCAACTCCCTTAACCCCAAGCCCTTGGACCCTTGACCCCGAAGACCCAAAAAGCAGCTGACAACCCAAAGCACCGAAAGTTCAAATCCCTAATTCAGCCAGAAACCCGTAAACGCTAACCCCCCGAATAATTTTCACCTAAACTTTTGACATTCCGCCCTAAGCCACTAAGCCTCAACTTCCTGACTCATATCCCTGAAGCCTTCCGACACCTTACATCCCTAACATGGGGGGTCTTGTTATTAATGGATTTTTAAGTTGAGGCTTCCCCAAAACCCTATTCTAATTATTAAGGCCCCTACATTGGGTTGCCGGGCCGAGATCCTCCTGGAATGGTTTGCTGCTGGCTTCAGCCTTGAACCGCCCCCGTAGCTTAGGCCATGAACATGAGGTTCACGGGCAACTTCGCATGACGTTGGAGTTGCGGAGCAAACTACAGGTGCAACCCGATGATGTGATTTGTTGGCAGTTACATTGAATCAGCAGAGAGTGTGGTAGTTGTGAAGCTTGGTGCTACCACACCATTCACTCTGCACAGTAATCCAGGGTTGCATGAGCTTGTGCACATCAGTTCGATAGCAGCGAGATGGCCTGTGACATCATCAAGTCGCTGCCTCGGGCACCTGCTCAGAGCCGATTTCACCCGTCGAACCGGTGGTCGTCGTGGTCGTCGTCTTGGTCGCTGTCGCAGTAGCAGTAGCAGCTGTGGCAGTAGTAGTAGTAGTAGTAGTCGTCGTCGTCGTCGTAATAACCATAATAATACCTATCATTAGTATTAGTCGTAGTGGTAGTAGAAGTCGTAGTTGTAGTAAGTAGCAGCAGAGGAAGGCCAGTAAAAGCACCTTCGGTAACAGTACTAGTCTTGGTACTAGTCTTGTCGGTGGTGGTGGCGGTGGTGGCAGTGCCAGAGATGGTAGCCCGGCATCCCCGAGACGACAGATAGACGAGTTCTGGCCCATCAGCCATGCCGGGGTATGAGGTTGACAGACTCAGGGTTTAGGGCTTAGGGTTAGTGGTCGCTCCATAGGTTGACTCATTTATCGACGGCTGCGGTTTTGGTTCGCGGTGTTGATGAGGCGCTGATGTTTTAATCAGCGCCAGTGCACGCAGCACAGGCATGGATAGGAGCAGCATGCAGCAGCCATCCATTGTTCTAGTGATAGCCGCTCTGATGTTGGCGATGATGATGGTTTTTTTGATTGTGCTGGTCTCCGTGGCATTATGATACTAGTCCAGCAAGGACTGATCACAGTATCGAGATTTAGCATTGCTTATCATGCGCTAGGGAGATGTTATCTTCCAGAGTCATGCTAGGACCTGCTACTGTAGCAGTCACTATGGTGAGAGTTCGGGTTCGCCCCTTGGCCCTAAAGCCCCGAACCCCAAACTTCTTTGTCACCTTGAGCATCTAAACCCTTTAAGCCTAAGAAGGGCCAGCATGGGCAGCCCTCTATGTGCCCCGGGTCAGGTTCTACAAATGGGGCATGTTCCTGTGCCTTCTCATCGCGCCGAAAGCTTACTCGCCCTGATGTTACACTGCTCAGACTAGGTGGGTGGGTCAGTCTGTCAGTACGGCTGTCAACAATATTCATACCATTCCATTGTGCTCTGATGACTAGTGTTATGAAGTGTCTAGGGTTTAAGACTGGGGGTTTAGAACCAAAAGTTTGCGATGCAGACGTTCTTTGCTATCCAGCTGTGCTGCCAAGGAATTGCCAAATATCTGCATAGCGTGTGTCTGAGATCTCAACCCCAACGCTCGATTATCTTGCTTTCCACTTCTTGAACGATGCTGGGTAGTTCAAAGCTCTAAAGTAGTAGAAGCCAGAAAGTTGGAACATCCCTATCCTCATGCCCTTAAGGTAAAGTATAGGGGATCCCAGCACCAAATATCCTAAATCCATGTTCCATCCTTCTAGGGTTCACTCACCCCAAAATAGTATAGTTGATTATTCAGGCTTCTATATTCGAGAAGCCTTCTTTTGTTCCCTTTCAGAGCCCTTCAAAGGAATGCTTTTTGAAAAGGAGCCCTATTCCATTCATCAAGGTCCCTAGGCGCTTCAAGCCGCAAAGCCCCGCGACCTCGTCCTCGGAGGTCGATCGCCCTCTACTTGGCGATTAAATGTCCGTGCGCCCGATCCAGCGGATGTTTCGCTGAGGTTGCAGTTTAAGGTTATATAAGTTTAATATTCATTTAGATTTAAGGTTATATAAGTTTAAAACTGATTTAGATTTAAGGTTATATAAGTTTAAATTCATTTAGATTTAAGGTTTAGGGTTGAGGTTGCAGGGCTTGAACTTGCAGGGTTGGCGAGGTGAAAGGTTTAGGGTTTCGGAATCGAAACCCTGCACCTCTACACCTTTTGCCGCAGTCGGAGTAGCCTTCCCTAGGCTGGTGGGAGCCAAAAACCCTAAACCCAAGTTTCTGGTCGACTCGATCAAGACACTTCACAGTGACACAGTGTCATGTCATCGCTGCAATGTTTGCTCAGGGCTCCCTCACATCACTATAGTGTAATGTACCTCAGAACACTCTTTTCATGGACCTACTGTAGTCATTCAATAACATAAGCCTACGTGGGAGTTTCAGAGAACATATAGACCCCAAATACCGTAGGATCCAGTCTGAATGGCTCCCACAAGAGGGATCCTGTGATGTCTAGAAACCCCCCTATGCGAGCTCTCCGGAGTTTCAGGTACGCCTCAGTTTGTCCGGCTGGCTTCGCCGCTATGATGGTGATGATCTCGGAGAGTCATTTTCGGGTTGAGGGTTGATTAGAGTTGAGGGTTGAGGGTTTGGGCTGGGGCTTAGGATTTAGTGGAAACTCAGGGATTAGTGTTTAGGGGTTTAGGGGTTTCGGTGGGTGCCGACTCTCGTCTTCGGTGGCCCTTGTGCTGAAAATCCGCGAGCTTCGAGTACTCATTCCAGAAAGCTGGACCCTCTTCTGCTACAAGACTTCGACCCAGAACATAACGATCTTGTCTAAGCCTAATCCGGTGCTATGCCATGGCATCATGCCATCACAAGACCGCAGTCCATCGTAGCAGTCTGCACTAAAAGCACTGCAAGTGCACTCGTCCAGCTGTTTCGCAGAGGGTTATGGGGGGTGAAGGTTAGAGGCCTGAACGAAATCCTTGTACCCAAACGAGTTTGAAGACCCTATATACTTGAACTGTGGAGTCGATCACTATGTACGCGATAGTTAGTTCAGTCCAATGTCCGGACAGTGCATGTATTCATCTTCTAACCGTGCTGGACCCCAATGTGTAGCAACCCCTCATCGTAGCTTGCAGTTGGCCTTTCACTAGCCAATTGGTTGATCTTTTGCAACATAAGGCGTATATAGCAAGAGCCTTATGTCATGAAGAAGGATCATATCGAGGCCGTAATGGCTAGAATCGGTTTTGGGGGTATGTCATACACATAATCTATTATAACCAGGAACTCCATTCTAGTATTTGGAGTTATTTACCCCCTACACTCCACAGCTTGAACCCACCAGCAACCATGCCTCAGCTCACCGGCATCAGCGCCGCACTGACCGTGCGCCTGGCAAGGGAGGGGGAGAGGGCAGAGGGCTAAGGCTTCAGGGATTATGCTTCAGAGTTTTGGGTTTAGGGTTTATAAGTAGGGCTTAGGGTTTAGGGTTCGGGGTTTAGGGCGAGGGATGAGCTTCAACTCCTTTGTCTGTTGGTCTCACACAGACACACACTCTCAGTCACTCACTCACTCACTCACTCACTCACTCTCTCTCTCTCTCTCTCTCTCTCTCTCTCTCTCTCTCTCGCTCGCTCTCTCTTTCGTGTATTGTTGTCAGTTCTTTTGCTCTCCTGCCCGTGTCTATCTACCTCTTCATTTAGCTTTGCATCTCTGCTTGTATGTCTGTCTGCGATTGTCGCCGCCATAAAATCGAATGTGCCGGATTAAGCCTTTATATGTGATGAACGTTTCTATGCATGCATGCGTGCTATACGTACATACATACATACATATATGCATGTATGCATGCATACATGTATGTATGCATGTACGTATGTATGCATGTATGTGCGCACACACCATTTGCACACACACACACACTCTCTGTCGCTCCACATACACATACATATTATAGACACACATACACATAATTATACACAGTATATTTGATAAGTGACACATGAGGTTGGGCGAAGTCTGGTATGACATGGCATGAGACGATATGGCATAATATGGCATGAGGGTCCATGATGCGCTGTGGTATTGCTTGATGTGACCTGGTGCGGTATGGTATGGTATGGTGTGGTACTATATTGCATAACATGGAAAGGCATGGCAATGCGTGGCCAGACGTGATGTGACGATGTGACATGGTGTGGTCTGATGCGGCATGTTACGACATGACCTGACATGGATGATCCGACACATGGTATCTGAAATGAGTATACGCCAGCCACTTGATACACGTTGCCTGGTGGTAATCCGAGTGTTTTGGGGCGCCTCCTTCCATAGATGCAGGCGCAACTCACCAGATGGACCCACCTCAGACTGGGCTTATATGTTTCAAGATCTGCTGTATGCAAACATGATATGCGATGTCTTGCATTCGCTATATAGCGGTGCGGTATACGGGACACACATACATGTGCACATTATGTACGACCTAGGATGTACATGCATGTATGTATGCATGCATATATATATATATATATATATATATATATATATATACATATATATATATATATGTATACATATATACATATCTACATGTTTACACGCATATGCACATTCATGTGCGTATGCATCCATCCACCCATCCATCCATCCGTCGATCATCCATCCATCCATCCATCCCTCCGTCCATCCATCCATCCCTGCATCCATCATCCATCATCCATCCATCCATCCACCCATCCCCCTCTCCCTCCCTCCCTCCCTCCCTCTCCACGCACGCATGCGCACTCACATGCATACATACAATTGTACGTGCGTACATACCTACATATGTATATATACATACATGTATATACATACATATATATATATATATATATATATGTAGGCATGTACGTCTGTATCGAGAGTTGATATGATACAGTATGACATTAATTAGTTAGTTTAACATCGCATAGTGCGCTCTGATATGACAACTCGTGCCGTAAATGTGATGCATTGTGAAGCGATGTGGCGCTGTGTGATGCAAACTGATATGCCACGAGCAGACATGGTGCGATACGATCTGCTGTGTAGAGAAACGCAAGGATTTGGTACGATCGGATTGATGTGACCTGGGGTGATATGATGTGATTCGCTGATATGATATGACATGAGATGCCGTGGTAATATGAGCTGTCAGCTTGTATGGTCTGATTTGTGCATGCCCGCATGTCTGCATACGCTTACATATGTATTCATGTATGTATGTATGTATGCACGTGCATATGTATGTATTTATGTGTGTGTATGTAGGTAGGTATGTATGCATGTATGTACACATGCATACGGTAAATGCCATGTATTGTACCGGTCTCAAGCACTCAGCTTCACAGCCGTTACATGATTACCTCGTTCATACGCGGCAGGGCATTGTCATGTTCTTCGTCAAGCGGTCGCTGAGCCACGTGCGGAAGCTGCACATTGATGACTTGTCCGCGAAGAAGATTACGGCACCTGGGCAAGAGCATGCACGACTTTCACGCTCGAGGTTTGCACCCCTCATTTCTCTCCTGAACAGGCCAGGACGGTGCGCTGCGGCGGCATTGCAAGAAAGTGCCCGTGCTGGCTCGCAGCCCATCACCGTTCGTTCACAAAGACTTGTTGCTTTGGCCATGGTTTCTTTCGACTGACTGTGCCGTGAGGGTTTGGCTAGGCTGAGGACCTTGGACCCGACGCACCAGCCTGGCGCAGCACGGTTTGAGTCCTGCCTGCTTTCAGTCGAGGTCTCGCTGGCTCTTCTTCTTTATGACGGTAGGCGTGGTCTCAGGAGCTATCTTGCACATGGAGTCTGGAATGCCACTGGTTAAGCCTTGTAAAACTGCGACCAGTGCAGGATTCGGGATCGCCGTGGTGCTGTCCACGTGCCCCGATGCGGGAGATGCCACGCTGTGGAAAGGGGTGGCTTTTGGCATGTTTGAAGCTTGGGTGGGACAGATTGTATGGGTATCAGATCGGCTTGCCCTGAATGCTACAGCCTAAATGCAGTCTTGAATCAAACTTGCTGCCTGGAGTCCATCAATCTCTATGAACTTTATCATATTCCCAGTACATATGGTAAGGTGCAAGTGCCAAAACGTCAACCTCGAACCCCAAATTCCAAACCGACCACGAAGCCCCAGCCTTTGAGTTTCCATCACCCACTGAACATAATTGCATCCACTTTCATAAGTACTTTAATGATAATCTGGATAGAAGATGTCAGTGATTCGTATTGGCAACGAGAACTGCTTCGCTGCTGATGATTGCAACTACGAAATTATTGAACATGTGTCAATCAGTTCTGCTTTCAACAAAATTTACGATCTTATGCCGGTCATGGTGATGGTACACGTGTTAAGTAATGATGATAATGACGATAGGGGGCAGAATCATGATAGTGGTGATGACGGCCGTGATGACAACACTTGAAATGACGATACTGCTGACAACTACGGAAGAGCCTTGTTCAGATAACCACTAACAAACATGACACCAATAATTGTAAACACAGTGGTAAAACTACCAATCACAACTAGCGTTGCCATGCTACGATTCGTGGCACTACTAACAGTAGCAAAACGCTGGCCATGACGACGTTCATGATATTAATTCCTCAGCCCGAAACCCTAAAGCCATAAAGCGCCAAATCCCCAACCTTCATGACAACCCTTCATAGCTTACATGAATCATGGTAATCCCTCAGCCCTGAACACTAAGACCCTAAAGCACTACACCGCCTTAGAGCCTTCAAGCTGTAAACATTTAGCCCGAAATCCTAAAGCCCTGCTATAGAGCCCCACAGCCCTAGAGCCCTACAAAGCCCCAAACGCTAAACCTTAAACCCTCAACCCGAAACCCTCAACCCTAAACCCTCAACCCCTAAACCCGAGACCCTAAACCCGAAGCCCTCAAACCCTAAACCCTCAACCCCTAACCCCTAAACCTGAGACCCGAAACAACCCTACTGCAACAACCCTTCATGGCCTTTTCCGCTGATCTTTCGAATGCCTTCCGGGTGCCAGGAAGACTGCGAGATGAAGGCGCCCTGGGCTCGGAGAGCGCTTCAGCTATGCCCTTGCGGTTTAGCGTTTCGGGTTTAGGGTTTAGGGCTTTAAGGGTTCAGGGTTTAGGGTTTAGGGCTTTAAGGGCTTAGGGTTTAGAGTTTAGGGCTTTAAGGGTTTAGGGCTTAGGGCTTTAAGGGTTTAGGGTTCAGGGTTTAGGGATTCAGGCTTTAAGGGTTTAGGGTTCAGGGTTTAGGGGTTCAGGGTTTAGGGCTTTAAGGGTTTAGGGTTCAGGGTTTAGGGGTTCCGGGTTTAGGGTTTAGGGTTTAAGGTTCAGGGTTTAGGGTTTAGGGCTTGGGGGGAAGCCTGAAGAATTACCAGCATCGTTCCTCAAGCGTCCTTGTAGTCTTTTCCAGCTCCATCAGAGGTTGGAATAACTTGTAACACTAGGACCATAAAGACCTTCCTAACCAGCACAAGCAGGTTTGGGGTAGTGAGAGTTTGCAGGGTTTAGGGGTGTAAGGCTCAGGCGATTTGGAGTTTGATACTGCGTTTTGCTCTTACAGTTCAGGGCAGGGTGTTTGAAGCCGATCCTTTGATGGGCTTCTCACGCCAGAACCTTGAGCCTAGGTCAGGCAAAGGATTTCGTGTTTCGGGTTCAAGGCTGAAGATCTAGATGAATCTAGATGTAGGGTCTGGAAATCGGGGTTTATCAAGTGAGGCCATGTTAGGCCCGAGCTTGGAAGTTTGTCCCTCCACCCTCAGCCCCACCTAGCTCCCTTGAAAGCACGAACCTTTAGAAGGTAACGCATCCTGAGGAAAGTTCGGAAGCGCCACAAACCCAGAACTCCCCATGCACTGTAATGAACCCTACAGAAAGCCCTTCCAAGCCCCATCGAAAGCCCCAAAGAAGCCCGCAAGAAATCAATAGCTTGCCGTTCTAACTTATACCTAGACCCCCCAAAGTAGGTGAAATAGTGGCCCAAAACCTATAAAAGGCTATTATTCTACATACCTTTGGGGTCCAGGTACAACCTTGGAAGGGTCCAGACGAGCCGCTGTAGAGAATCGCGAAAGACTGCTTAGGCCAGACCCAAAGGTCGAATTTGGCGTCCTTTTTGTCCTCTGGCCTCTTGGCGGCGGTCAGGGTTTCGGGTTTAGGGTTTAGGGTTTCGGGTTTAGGGTTGATGGATATCAGTTCGTTTCGGTCGGTACTCCGAAGCAAGGCTTTTCCCTTCATTGCAAGGCTCTTGAAACACGCGGATCAGAGCTGAGAGTCTAGGGTTCACAGAAATTTGTTCAGACTCTTGTGAGCATTTTCTACAAGGAACTGGACATGACAGCACATGACGCGGCAACGAGCTTTGGTGCACTGTAGTTGATGCACATGGGGGTTTCCGAAAATAAGGGTTACCTTATTTTGGGGTCCTTGTAGTACGGATCCTACTATTTAGGGTACGATATTAGGGTCCCCTATTTTCGGAAACCCCCTAAACCCTAGACCCTATAGATCCCTTATAGGAACCCTTAAAGGATCCCTTTAAAGGAACCCTAGGGTTGACCAATCCGAGGGCTCTCTCTGCTCTTGGGCTCGCAGGTGAGATTTCATCTTTAAGAACTCAAAGGAGACGTAGCCACCTTCCGAGGGTTTAGGGTTTATAGGGTTTAGTGTTTAGGGTTTAGGGTTTAGTGTTTAGGGTTTAGGGTTTAGGGTTTCTGATGCATGTTAGGGGCCGACCTCCTCTGGTCTGAAAAATCCGGGGTCCCGGGTTTCTAAGCCTCAGAGCCATGGACGCTGCTGCATGTCTTGACATCTTGAGCCGCGCGGCTCATACGGGCAACTCGTCTGCAGACCCCGAATCTCAGGAGCAACTGAGTCGTTGCTTTGCATGCCTCTTCATGCAGGCCACAGGATAGAAATCGAATTTCGAGGCCATCTTCAGTCAACAAGTATGAACACCTGCTGCATGTAGGCACACAGAAGTGGCAACAGGCTCAGTAGGTATATGCTTATGAAGGGCAGACCTTGATCGATGCAGGACCGTGCCCGATTAACATTTCCCTTCCTACTGTTTTTTGAAGCTCCTGGGGACCGCTTCTTTGAAAGTAAGATAGGGGCCTTTATTATAAGGCCCCGATATTGGTCCATGGTTCTGGTCCCCTAAGCCCGATAACCTGGACCCTACAAGCCCTAAAGCCGAAAGCCCATTTCAGCACCGCTTGCTTCGGGTCTACAGTAGTTGTTCCCCTAACCCCTAAACCACTAAACTCTAAACCCACGTTAATACCAAGGTTCCCATCAGAATGGCGGCGGCAAAGCGTGCCGCCGTGGAGGCGGAGCCCTGCTGGTGACCCCATCAGGGGTCGGGGTTTAGGGTTTAGGGTTTAGGGTTTAGGTGTTTAGGGTTAAAAGTTTAGTGGCGTTCAAGGTTCATGTGTTACGGTTTTGGGGTTTAGGCGAGGAGACTAAAGTGGATGATGACCCTGCCGCCGGCACGAGTGGGAGGATGCTCTTCAAAATCTGAAACTGAAAGTCTAATTATCAGAGTAGTAGACCATACCACCGAAAACCTAGTCTAATTATTTAGGCTGCGACTAGACTCGACTAGACTCATCACTTGTGGTAGCCCTTACAGAAACTCTGCACCCTGAAGGAGCCCCTATTCCAACTTCTCGCATGTAGGCCCATTTTCAACCCTCATTCAACCCTAAACTTAAATTTGAACCCTAAAGCCCTTTCGACCCTAAACCCTAAATACTAAAGCCCTAAAGCCCTAAACCCGAAACGACCTCATCTTGGCCGCAGGCGCACCTCAAAGCACCGAGGGAGGTTATCCCGCCGCACAGACTGAGCAGAGTGGTCAGGCGTCTAGACTGGGCAGTTGGGGTGCAGGGCCTTAGGATTTTAGGAGGTTCGGGTTTTAGGAGGTTCGGGTTTTAAGGAGATTCGGGTTTTAGATTGTTTAGGAGATTCGGGTTTTAAGGTTTATGGAGTTTCAGGGGGCTCAGGGTGTAGGGTGTCAGGAGTTTAGGGTTTAGGGTTGTCGGGGTTATAGAGTTTAGGGTTTTGAGGCCTCTCATTTTGGGGCTTACGGTAAGGTTTTTAGGGTGGTCCAGGTTTGAGGGTTTATAGTGTTTAGGGGTGTAAGGCTTTAGGGTTGAAGGCGCAGGGCTGTGGGTTTTGGGGTTCAGGAACCCGAATCCACACCCCCAACCCTCAAATTTGATCCCGAACCTCCAAGCCTGAACCCCGTGGAACCCTAGGTTCCTGCTTGTTTTTATATGTGCCCTATGATCGTGGTTCTCATCTGTCTTTGCTTTCTAGTATGATGACGCACGATCATTACTACTTACTTGATGAGGCTTCTGTTGCTGTCATCTTTCATGTTGGTTGCTGTTATGATTACACGGTGCGCGCTTCTCATGTCGGCCCCGGCCCCTAAACTCTTCCGAGCTCAAGAAGTCTCGAGATGCATTGCTGGATCGTGTTAATGCAGGGGCCTTAAAAATTAGAGTAGGGTGTTGGGGTGTATTATACTATAGTTATATTGAGGAACCCCCAAAACCCAATTCTAACTATGAAGGCCCATACATTAGAAGGGGCCCCCACCCTGTAATAGTGGTATAATAGGAATATAATCGGGCCCTACTATGATCCTTATAGTCGGCTTCTAACCCATACATTACACGCAGTGTCGTCATGGTCATAGTGAAGCCTCATCCTGGCAGTTCTTGTCGTCGTCGTCGTGGTCGTGGCTGCTGCTGCATTTGCACATGTTGTTTGTTTGGTTGTGGGTTTGTTTGTCTATAAGTTTGCTTGCTTGCCTGGCTAGTTGTTTGTTTAGTTGGTTGGTTGGCCGGTTGGTTGGTTGGATGGTTGGATGGCTGGTTTGGTATCATTGGTTTTGTTTGTTTGTTTATTTGGTTGGCTGGCCGGTCGCTTGGTTGGTTTGTTAGTTGGTTAGTTGTTGTTGCCGTTGGTGTTGGTGTTGGTGTTGGTGTTGGTGTGGGTGGGGGTGGGGGTGGGGGTGGCGGTGGCGGTGGCGGTGGCGGTGGCGGTGGCGGTGGCGGTGGCGGTGGCGGTGGCGGTGGCGGTGGTGGTGGCGGTGGTGGTGGTGTTGCTGCTGTTGCTGCTGTTGCTGCTGTTGCTGCTGTTGCTGCTGTTGCTGCTGTTGCTGATGTTGCTGCTGTTGCTGCTGTTGCCGTGACTGTGGCTGTGGCTGTGGCTGCTGCGGTTGCGGTTGTGGTGCTGGTGCTGGTGGCGGTGTTGGTGTTGTTAGTGTTGGTGGTGCTGGTGTTTGTGTTGCTGCTGCTGCTGCTGCCGTCGTCAATGTTACCTTTATCTTCCGCATCATCAGCAGTATCTGCCGCATGATCATGATCATTGTGATCATCGTCGTGATCATCACTATAATCATCATCATTACTGTCACATGTGTCATCACCAACATGCTAGCACTATGATACTCGTATCACGCCATGAGCTATGACTGACTGTTTTGATCCTGCCTGTTGCTCTTTGTGTCTTTGTTGTTGGTGCTGCTGTCGCGAGCTTGAAGACATCACTGACTGTTGCTTGGCTATGAGTACAAGCTCGCATCAGAGCTCGCCATTTTGTCGCCACAGGTTTCCAATACTCCGATAATCGCCGTCATTACAAATACTGCCACTCTTGCACTAGTAACTCGTGATGACGCTGCTACAGCTGCGGCTACTGGTGCAACTTGCACCGTTACCGGTGTCAACGATCCTTACTGTCTGTCTTGTTATGGTGGTGCTATATGGGGGGTTCCGAAAATTGGGGGTACCTTATTCTGGGGTCGTAAAAAAAGGATCCTACTCTTTAGGGTACTATTTTAGGGTCCCCTATTTTCGGAAACTCCCATATACTTGGGCCAAAGATGCCACTGTACGTGTGCATACTTACTCGCGCCAATTCCGCAATTGCTTCTGTTATCTTGGAGTGTTACTACAAGACGTCCCGCCACCACCACCACCACCACCACCACCACCACCACCACCACCACCACCACCACCACCACCACCACCACCACCACCACCACCACCACCACCACCAGTGTTACGGCCATTAGTTAGCACCTAAGCGATCCCAGAGACGCCCTGTTTGAGAGGCGCACTCGTGCTGCGGCGCAAACCCGCAGGCAAGCTGACGTGTCGTACTTGTTCCTTTGGCTTGGGTGCCGCGCGAGCAACCATTCTGAAACTTAGGGTCGCATGGTTCGAGACGGGATTGCACGTTGAAGTTTCAGTTTCTGGTTCACCGTCGACCTCCTGGCCACCAGCTCAAGCCTAAGCACCTTAAGGCCTTAAGCAAGAAGCAAAGCTGACGCAGCAAACCATGAGACTGAGATCTAAACCCTATAAGCCCGGAAACCCTAACCACCCCAAAATATAAAACCCTGAAACCCAAAACCTAAAACCCTAGACCCCGAAACGTAAAACCCTAAACCCGAGAAAACCGAAGGCCCGAACGGCCACCCAGACGCAGTCAGGCCGCCGTGGGCTCGCAGGGCTTGGGCCAGGCCGAAAGCTCAAACCTGCATTCTCTTGTTTTCAAGGACGCATAATGAAGGAACCTAATTAAGAAACCTTAAACGCCTCTATAAGAGTTACTATATATAAGGGATCTATAAAGGTAAACCTGATTAAGAAACCTTGGGCCTCTCTTAGGGCTCCTTATAAGAACCCTACTGTTTTAGGGTTTATAGGGCCAGGGTTTCTGAATCAGGTTCCTACATTACCGTATGTAAGGGAAGTAGCAGGCCAACCTTAAAATTCATGTATACCATCATGTATCAGAGGGTGCCGGGGTGCCATCTAGTATTGTCCGGAGAAGCAGAGCACTAAAGTTACGGACTGATCTTGGAATGTGTCTTCTGCTCCAGCCGCCTTAAATGGGCAGCTTGGGATCTCCCTAAGCCCTCCCTAAAACCCTAAAGCCCTAAACCCAGAGCCCGAAAACCCTGAAAGCGAATCTGGTAATGTGGGAACCTGATGAAGAAACCCTGGGCCTATAACCGAAAAATATCTAAGGATCCTTATTAAAGGCCCAAGGTCTGAAAAAACAGGTTCCTACATTAGGGATCAGACTTCGGGTCTCAAAAGAGCTGAGGTTCTCAGTACTCTAGGTGCCGGTAGTATCGCCTTATACGACCGGCAGTACTAGACTATGGCAGACCCCAAAAGCCCCCATTCAAAATTCTCAAGGCCGTTCTATTGCAGGTTTTATTGCGAAGGTTCGGGGGCCTAGCAGCGTCAGCCGAAGATCCCTGGGAATAGCAAGCAGTACCCGAAGGCCCCAAAGTAGTTCCTTTATGGGGTTCATACTTAGAATCCTATTAGGTAATCCCAAAACGGAACTACTTTGGGGCCTATGGGCAGCAACAACAGTGCAACGGTCAGACAAGGACGTCTTCTAGGTTTGAAGACTGGTTTTACTTTGTGCTTATACCTTCTGCGCGAATCTTGGCCTTCCAGGATTCCAGTGACGATTCAGAGTCGCGCAACTCAAGACACGTAGCGGAGATTTCTCATATCTCGGGTAATTATAGGAGCTTTCAGAGCATGCTTGGCCAGGTGTTGGATTTGGAGACAGGCGCAAATGTGCCCTGGCCCAAAGCTGGTTTGGGTTGTTTTACTTGAACGTCGGCGAACTCCGCGTCGTAACGCCTGAGAATACCAGCGGGGCAGAGGGGATCAGCTGAGATTCCAGTCTTGGCTATGGCTTGTTCAGAGATAGAACATCATGACGGAATCCACAAATTAAGGCCAGCAAACTCCTTGTGCTTGATGTTCTGGTCAGTGCTAATTACTGTGAATCTTGGCAGTTCGTTAGCGCATACAGCCTGTTCCTTTGATCGACTTTGTGCGCTGGCTTTCCTTGAACTGTAGTTGGAGACTCTGCTTTCCCTGAAGGCTTCTCCTGGTTGCATGATGCATGCTGAAGCTAACCCTGAACCCCAAACCCTACACCCTAAACTTTAGTACGTACTGTTCGAAAGACAGATGGATGGACCCAGACTTGCGTCTGAGCACGCACCCATACAGCCAGTGTCCACCCGCAGACAAACAATTAGACACAGTTAGAAACGATGCTAAACGCCTTGAAACTTTACGCCAGCCAAAACTGCAACAAGCCGGGTCTGAATACTTAGACGTTTTTCTCTGTTCCAATCCCTCTAGAGTCACACCCAGAACCCTACATATTCTGACCATCAGAATTTGAATGCGGCCCCTCTGTGTGCATAAGGCATGGAGCCAATAAGTCCTACAACCTCATCAATCAAACCCTACAAGCCCTTATAAGAACCCATGACACGCCTATACGACATGTAGACCACATGCAGCCACAGGAAACACTTGGACCGGAGTTGACAGAGGACGCAGCGCTTCTGGGGACTTTGGATTGCAGTAACCGACTGGCTTCCCTGAGATATGTGAATACAGAAGCTGGAAGTACGTGGTTAACTAAGCCCTGAACCCCTCAACTCCATGCAGCAACAGACCATTCTAAACTCCTCTAAACCCTAAACCAGCCAGAAACAGACGATTCATGAAAGCATCCATGCAGGAAGCGATCCTTCAGCGATTCCCAAAGCTGCGCGCTCCGGAGACTCCGGAGGAGCTCCAGTTCAGGTTTCGAGTGTTTAGGGGTTAGGGTTCGAGGGTTTAGGGGTTATAAGGATTAAGGGTTTACGGCTTGGGGGTTCAGTGTTTAGGGGTGTTTAGGGTTTAGGGGTTTAGGGTTCGAGTGTTTAGGGGTTTGGGGGTTTAGGGGCTTAGGGGCGTAGGGTTTAGGGTTTAAGGGTTTAGGGATTAGAGGTTTAGGGAGCGGTGCTTTCAAGATCTTGTTTGCAGTCTCGGTGACAGTGAACTTCTCCTTGCAGGACACCGCCCCAAGGAGTGATCCAGGCCGGGGGCCTCAAGGGCAGCTCCAGGATGTCTAGGTATATGTATTTTTATGTAGCTTAGGTATGATATGTGTGTATATATATATATATATATATATATATATATACTTATTATACATATATTGTAAATATCTGTGATATCCATATATAATATGTATATATATATATATATATGTATATATGTAGATGTATTTGTGACATAACCTGATATGACATGGTTTGATATGATATGGTATGATATGGTATGACATGACATGACATGACATGATATGATACGATATGATGGCATACGACATGTAATGTAGTTGTGCATGGAAACATATGTCTATGCTGGGATATAGCTGCTCCGTTTTGGGGCTCCAGTGCCTGTCTGGAAAAGACCGGAATATGCCGTGGCAAACGGCCAATAGAGCCTCCGAAGCCCGCGCTCTGAATGCAAAACTCCCTAAAAATTCTAGACCCGAGACCCTGAGCCCTCACTAAATCCGCACAGGGGCGGAGATGGACGTCGAGAAGACGTTCGATGGAAACATGGCCGCGCAGATGGTCCTGGCAGCAGTTGCGCTACAAGAGGACTCGCCACCAAAGCTTAGAGTTTCGCGACTGGGTTACTGCATGGGTTTATCGGTTTACGGGTTCGCAATACGGTTTTGCAAAGGAGGTCACCAAGGTTTCTACAGCTTTCTGTGCACGTGTTTGAGATGCTCCGCCAAATCTTCAGAAACCATGCATGATCGAAAGGCTTGGAGGCTTGTACATACTTATGTTCGGTCACTACACGTGGAAAGTTATCTTAAGACGAATCGCATCTCTGGGACTTGGGGTATGATAGACTGGTGCCAGACTTCGTTCGCTGCATTGGCTAGCAGCCAAGTGCATCAGTCCGGATCACAACCGGAGGATACAACCTCTAAGCCCTACGCACTAGACGAAAACTGATACCTTCATGGCCGCAGCCCTTAAAACCGGCCCTGCAACCTGAAAGCCCTACACCCTGAAAGAAACTTATGCACTTAGCGCCTTTCGCCTGAACCCCAAAACTGTTTAACCCTCGACCCGAGAACCCCACACCCCAAGCCTTCAATCATAGGAGGCCAAAAGGGGTTTTAGCCTATGGTGGTTTAGTAGGGATTAGGGTTCCCATAGTAGAGTTCATATTAAGGAATCCCTACCCCAAGAATCTTAAACCCCCCTTTTGGCCTCCCATCATTCAATCCTGTGATCGCCCGCTATTACGACCAAGGATAGCTGCAGTTTACGGTTTACTATAGGGCCTAAATCTTTTCCACTACTGCTACGGGGGTTCTTTATTCTATTTACAGTACAATGGACCCCAAAAGCCGAATTATTTAGGTTTTTTGGGCACCTGTATTAGTGTGTCCTTTCGTTGAGAGGAGCGCGTGGCGGTCTACAAAGACTACGACGCAGCCTTCAAGTATCTCCTCCAGGTCTCTTTTCCTTACGCCAAGTTGGATTTTAGGGTAGCATGAGTCCCTATAGTTACAGGATGTCACAGGTCTCCCAATGGTACCGCTGTTGGCCTTTCATTTGGGATAAGGGGTAATTAGCCTTTTAGTTAAGGGGCTGCGAGGCAACCTGGGTTATCAGTCCTTGTTGGGTTGACAAGGTACATGACCGGGACTGCAAATACTAATGTTGGGGCCTTCGTATTTTTACTAGGTTTTGGGGGCATATTATACATTAGTTATAATAAGGAGCCCCCACAACCCTATCCTAATAAGCCTCAATTTCTTTCCGCTCGTTTGAGGCGACTCTTGTGCCTTCAGATGGGAGTTTCCGAGAATTCGGGGCACCTTATTTGGGGGTCCTTATAATAAGGATCCTAGTATATAGGGTACTATATCAGGGTCCCCTATCTTCGGAGACTCCCAGATCATGCACTTCTGACAGAAGACGAAGATGGCTAGACGACGGGAGACGTCTAGTTATATAGAACCGCAGAAATCCCAATCTGGTTACTGTATTATTGACCCAGCATAAGAAAACCATGGGAATATATATATATATATATATATATATGTATATGTATATGTATATGTATATGTGTATGTATGTATATATATATATATATATATATATATATATATATATTAGATCCTTCAGAAGTGGATGTCCAAGCTTGAAAGCCAGGCGGAGGGGCAGAAGGCTACTCGCGCCTTGGCGTGGCTCTACCCCTTTGTGGTGCGTTGTGCCACGGTCCGCTTCCAGGTGCTGCAGCACAGCTTTTTACAAAGATGTTTCAGTTTCAACACTGTGGAGTTCATTGCTACATGTCACCCGTTCATCTTTATCACATGTGTCCATATGCACACATACTGATACACACGCAAAGTCTCCCTCTCTCTCTTCTCTCTTTCTCTTTGTCTCCCCTCTGTCACTCTCTCTCTGTCTTCTCTCTCTCTCTCTCTCTTCTCTCTTTCTCTTTGTCTCCCCTCTGTCACTTTCTCTCTGTCTTCTCTCTGTCTCTCTCTCTCTCTCTCTCTCTCTCTCTCTCTCTCTCCCGGACTCTCAGAGGCGCATTAGCGTATGCAAAGACGTATGCAAAGACCGTGCATGCACAAGGGCAGGCATAGGCTTAGGTTCATCTTCATGTGTCACAGTAAACATTGTAAAGCATGTACATGCGAATATTTGTCGATTCGATGTAGATACACACCATCTGTATCATGTGTGTGTGAGAGTAGGTACACAAAATGCACGTGCATGCATGAGCACGCTTCATACGCATGCACATACCGGTTTTGTGGCAATAACTACAGTACATGCACGCATGCAGGCACATATGTACACCATGATCTTCAATATACAATGAGCATTCGTATATATTTACATATTGTATCTGACAGGCCGTTTCCCAGGGAGTTCGTTCGGTGGCCAGGGATCTCGAGACCAGGCAAGGCGCTGAGACCTGCAGGAACCGAGATCTTCCAATGTGGGAGTTTCCAAAAATAGGGGACCCAAATATAGTACCCTCAATAGCAGGATCCTCAATGTAAGGGCTCCAAAAGACACCCCTAACTTTTGGACACACTCAAATCCCCTCAGGAAGGAATCCACCTTAAAATATAGTGGAGTTTAGGCCTTAAACTACAGTAGGGTCCCTTATATGTGCGTTTCAACAAGAGTTGGCGACATTCGTGGGTTTAGAACCCAGCTTTGGCATATACCATGAGTAGGAGGAGGTTCAAGTCAATGGGGTCAGTTTATGATACATGGGTAAAGCAGTCGGTCATGCACGCTCTGTATGTGGGATCCATCCCCAAATAGCCACACTGCTACATGTCCAGACGAGGTGCACTATAGAAGGCTTGACAATGATGTTTGTCCTTCTTTAGGTTCTGAAAATGTGAGCTCGGGGTGCATTCTGAGACGATGACCCTAACACAGGTACCCCTATTGCCATTGAATTGAACGGCCACTGCACATACACATATAATCTACATTTTACATATATATATATATATATACACACATAGATAATATGTACATATGTACTATGCATTCCAGACGGCGCGCGTCAAGGCAACCCAGAACCCTTTTTTTTGTCGGTGTCAGTGGTCTTGCTCCTGGGTTGCTCATGAACTACCCGATTACATCCCTTTTCGGGATGTCTCTCAGTTCGTGTCCGCCGTGCGAGAGAGGTCAGAGACAAGCCGCAAGCCGCTCGCGACACAGGCGCACGTCGACTGTTTGCGGTGGTAGACGATGAAAGGATGCAGCAAGAGTTGTTGAACGTGTTCGTGATTACCACGAGGTGTTGCAATCTTCTTGTCTTGGCCGTTCAGGAGCTCTGATGCCCCAACCCTGAACCCAACCCTAACAGCCGGCATCCGAAGCCGCACGGCCTACCACCCTCAATGCATCACCCTAAACCCGAACCCTCAATGCATCAGGTAGATGAGGCCTCCCAATCGCTACGTGCTTTGCAAAGGATGGAGGCGGGCCAGTTACGGTCGTCGTTGTTTGGAGTTTAGAGTCCTACTGAGGCCGTCAGCTCAGTCAACAAAGATCTCTAGGTTTTTCAATCGTTACTGGAATTGAGGGTGGAGGTTTCGTGTATGTTATAGGGGTTGATGATGATGCGTAGAGTTGGAAGGTGTTAAGGCTATTACCCTGCCGGACCCTGGATGATCTGCTGAAGTGTTAGGCAATAGAAGCTGCGATGAGGGTTACGATAGGGGCTGAGCTTCCAACTCATGTTTACCAGAAATAATTGCGTTTACATAGGGTTTGGGTTTAAGGGCTGTCGGAATCTACGGCTTTAGGGTTCAGGGGTTTGGGATTTCAGGGTTTAGGGGTTTAGGATGTAGGATGTAAGTTTAGGGCTTTTCCGTGGTTGGGGGATGGCTGAACAGCCCCCAAGACCGCAAAGAACTGACCTACAAACCCCAGCCGTAAACCCATAAATCCAATAACCTCCCCCCCTACTACGGCTCGAGGCTAAACCCTAAACCCTAAACCGAGAACCCAAAATTCTCTCCAGGCCGAACGGCTTCAGTTGGTGGCCGCACACCATGCAGATCAGGGACGCCAGCTCTTGAGCCAGGCCTCTCTCGACGATTCGCGGCGTCTGGGGGCTTTGATAGTTCATGATGTATCAAGTTGTACTAGAATATACTGTACTGTACTATTCTATCTTATACGCTTCCTTATATACTATCTCAAAATATACCGAACTGTCAATACTGTACCAGACTGCATTTTATTGTTGCAGCTTATGTCAGAGAGTACAACCTGTATGTTGTTCAGGATTATTGATGCTGTTGGTGGGGAGAAGTGGATCGAACAGGTGGGCTGTTCAAGTCTGTGCAGCCTAGTCGGGTTAATCCTGCCCATTTGGGAGTACGTTGGGCTTTTCAGGGTTTTCAGGTCAAGCTGGAGTTGTTCCTTGCTTTCAGTCGTCTGATCGCGGGTGCCGGGCTGCCGGGAACATAAGTATGGCTGCGGCTCCCAATTCAGAACGCACGGAGACGTTCAGCGAATCCAGGGGACGTTGCTTGCGGTATGATGTGGTGCTATCTCTTTGACAACGTTGATCTAGATTCCATATTCCGCGGCTGCTCGCACGGCTAGCACTATGAAGCTTTGAATTTGAATCCTCGTGCAGCCTCGTGCCAGCTCACTCTAACGCACAGGTTTCCAAGCATGTCATCAATCTGTTTTGAACTGCAGCCGTTTCGTGCTGTCCACATGAGCTGATCATCTTCTTCTTGATTCCGAAGCCCGTGCAGCTCTCAGCTATCAGCGTCATACAGGCTAGCAATCTCGTATTCCAGGGTTACTATTTCGCACATAAGCAAGAATGCGGTGGTACTGCAGTCCAAGGATGTGTTGACCCCCCCCCCCCGCCCCCCTTAACCCCAAACGCACCGGTCCCTATCCCCTCCTATAGCCCCCAGCCCTATCCCCAGCCATGAGCCCAGCAGGAAGGCCTAGAAGAAGCCACGGCCAAGACCATCTCCGAGGCAGGTCAATAGATGTATCGAGACACTATGAGTTTAGGGTTTAGGGTTTTAGGGTCGGATGTTGATGGGGCGGTCAAGACATGAGCATCACAGGTTCCTGTTTATACGACGTATTTAATCTAGCAGAAGGGTGCATATACTGCTGCAGCTGCTATTTTCTCTGCCACTGCAATTGCTAGTATTGCTCCGTCCATCGCCGTTGCTTGATGTTTCCAATTTCAGCTCATGCTCTCCCGAGCAGCTTTGCACTTGCGGGTTCGGTGCAACCTCCAGATTCCAACTCCGGTTATCCTCCACGCCAGAAACCCAAGAGCTACTACAATAGTTACTATAGTGGCTACTATAGCTACTGTAGTGATAGTTCTACTACAATAGGTACTAAACTTACACTATAGCTACTATAAGGATAATTAGTTGCTACCCTACGGGCCCACAGTACTTCCTTTTTGGGATTACCTTTATAGGATTCTAAGTATGAACCCCAAAAAGGAACTACTATGGGGTAATGGAGTAAAAGAGAGAGCAGGTCAAGAAGCGCCTTGGGCGGCTTTCGCAGCTTGGCCCGAAAGAGTCTGTCGAGAGTTGTCCTTGCTTTCCCAGGTTTAGGGTTTAGGGTTTAGGGTTTAGGGTTTAGGGAGGTACTGTTATGGGGAATACTTCCCCAAATCATAGTAGTATTTCCTAATATAGAAACCCTAGAGTCTTCCATATAGGTACTTCTTTGGACCCTTTGGGTTTTGCCGCAGTACTGTAGGGGCATAAATAGTTCGCATAGGGTTTTGCAGGCTCCTTTAAAGGGGTCCATAAGGGCTACTATAGGGGCTATTACATGTAAGGGTTTAGTATAGGGGGCCTACATACTTGCCAATACTATTTTGGGGGTTCCTTGTTATGATTACAGTATAATCGGCCCCAAAACCCTTTCTAATTATCAAGGCACCATTTTAGTTCCAGGTGAAGTCTTCGTGCCCTTGATGATTTACCTTTCAACAAGGCGTGGGTTCCTCCTGGTGAATGGAACCCCCCAAAACCCTAAACTCTAAACCCAAGCCCTAAACCCGAAACCCAAAACCCAAAGCCCCTAAACCTTCAACCCCTATAAACCCCCAAAACCCTAAACCCTTGTGGCTTCAGGCATTGAGTGTTCGTAGCCTGGAGAGTTTCCCTTCACCCCACCGGTGGCATCGCTTGCGCTCAGGCAGGACATTGATGAACTCGTGAGTGAGCTTCGGTACACGGCTGCTGACATGAGGCCCTAGTCTTTGCTATTGAAGAGTCTGGCTGCGCATGCCATGTCGGAATGGCAGCTCCTCCCGCATGTAGTGCAATCGCCGACCGCAGACTTTGAAAAAGAAGACAGCTTCTGTGGTGTCTTGACAGCTGTTCCGTGCATGGGTAGTTCTCTGAGTTAGGGTGCCTTTTCGGGTCCTTCTTGTGAGGGTGCCGGACTGCACAATTTCAATTGACAAAGGAATCAAATGCTCGTCTTTGTGGAAACCCAGATCCGCTTTTCCAGGAATAATCTCCTCTTGACACACTATCTGTGTATCCTTGACGTTAAGCCTTAGTCTTCAACCCTGAACAAAGCTGAAGCAACCAGCTTCGAAGCGGGATTTTTGTTATCTGCTGATCAATACTAGTTCGTACGGCTCCTTATTAGAACTACATATAGTATAATATGCCCCCCAAGCCGTAGTCTGATGGAATAAGTAGCACTACTATCCCTTCAGGTTCCTGCATATGATTACAGGTGGCAGTACGATATACCCCGGAACCCTGTTCTGTTCCTACAGCTACTGAGGTTAATCCTGGCCATCCTTGCCACCCGAGTCAATGCCGCAAAGAGACCTTGGCCGTGCGATTCTCGGATTGGATGCACTTTAGATTCTTGCAGCAACATCTAGGGTTTAGGGCCTTAGGGTGTAGAACGCATGTTCTATATCTCGGTTGGCACTACTTGCGTCGTGTCGTTGAGCTTCAGCTTTGCAGGATTCAATTGAGTCGTTGTCCTAAGTTTGCACGAATCCAGATATTGGGCTCTGTTGAGCGATTTCCTTTGTTCCGGATGAGCATTCACTGTTGATCGCACATGAGGTGCAAATCATGGAAAAAAAGTATCGCAGCATGCCACGCGGTGTGCGAACAGATGCTGCCCTGTTGGAGCATCGCGTGTGACAAAGTTACGCAGTGCTGCTTTCCGACCATTCTACTGCAGTGCTCAACCATTTCGATGCTGCAATATGTTGTTGAGCAACTTTCACAGAGCTCTGCCACTTTGATGTGGAGCACCCAAAACCCCGATACTCTAAACTCTAAGCCGTATATTTTCAGCCCAAGAACCTGAGCCCTAAACCCCAAAGCCCTACACCTCAACTCCGAAGGCCTACACCTTCAGCCCCAGGCCCTACACCCAGAACCCCAAACCCCAAACCCTAAACCCTAAACCCTAATCCCTAAACCCTAATCCCTAAACCCTAAACCCTAAACCCTAAACCCTAAACCCTCCAGGCCCTACACCCAGAACCCCAAACCAAGTATCATGGGATGCTGTCGAGGCGGTTCTGCTCGATAGTCGCCAACCCACAGGATCCTAGGCGCTATTATGGGGAATCCTTCCCCAAATCATAATAGTAAGTCCTAATATAGAAAGCCTACATTCTACCATATAGCTCCTTTGGGGCAAGAAATCCAAGCCTCTCTTCCCTGCAGGATTTAGGGTTGAGGGCTTTGGAGGCGCACTTGAGGTTGGAGATATTTGCTTTAGGTCTCGGCTATGCGGCTTTTCAGCTTGCGGCTTTGAAGTTTAAGGTTTAGGGACATATAACATAATATGATATAGTTAGTATTACACAGCTGAATAGATTACGACATAATATGTACTATAGTATATGATGTGAAGCACATTATGTCCTGTCAACTTTCTAAAGCCTATGACCCAGCAACATGAGGTTTCTTTACGAGCCATCGCCAGAAGATGACACCTTCAAAGGACGTGCGTGACTCAGTCTGTCCGCTGCTCCATTCCAGAAGACTGTTAGGACCCCCAAAGGGTCGAAGTACCAATATGGTAGCTATACCCATAGGCCCCAAAGTAGTTCGTTTTTGGGATTACCTAATAGGATTCTAAGTATGAACTCCAAAAAGGAACTACTTTGGGGCCTTGCTGCACTCTTCCTTGGACCCTTTTGGGATCGAAATGCTGACATGTCTCTTTGTAGTTGGCCAGTACAGGCCAGTCTGCATCAACTCGCTTCTTCAAAAGATCCCTTCAATTCTGTGAAGTCCAGGTGGCATCTTCGCGTTCTGCGCTCCCTGCGACATGCTGTCCAAGCCTCTCGTCGCAAGCGGCACAGTAAGCACCGCAAAGTTGCTGATAGAAAAAGGAAGACGCAGATGATGGCTTCACATGTGATCTCCGCGCCGTTGTAGGCATCTTCTTTCTCATACTTGCTTCACCCTTTCTCACTGCAGGCCACGATGCCCCGAAATCGAACCCCTAGTGGTTTACTCTTTTTCGCCAAAATACCTTAAAACCTTTAGCCCACGCCTCGCGAGCCTCAAGCATCTACGTCCCTTGCAGGCTGCTCCATCCATGAGCCGCGCTGAGCCCTGGAGTTCCGAAGTTAGTGGACGCTTCTTCCCATCAGCGGCTTGAACTCACAAAAACGCGTGGGTGACATATGGGTCGGGGAAAGCAGTCCTCGGTCTTTGTATATATGTATGTTACGATAGACCTCGAAACCACTACTTTGCTAGTACAACTGTCAAGGCGCCTAGTATATTCATTACTCGCACATGGGCCCCCGAAAGGAGAGTTTGGACAAGCCGCGTCTTGCTGTGTTGTTAGCAACTCATGATGACTCCACGAGGGGGGTTTCGGACACCAGTGGCACCTGTTTTTGGGAACGAGCCCTTGTAGCAAGGATCCATGGTTTTTTTCAGAAACTTAGGGATTTAGAGTAGTAATTTCAGGTCTGAAACCCCTCACGCCTGTGTGGGTACGATCAAAGGCTCAGACAGCGGTTCAATCCGAGAGATCCGAACTTGGACAAACTCATTTTGGGGCTTTAGGGTTTAAGGTTTAAGAATATAGGAATGGGAATGGTTACCGTCATACTGTTGCTTAGAGGCTCAGGGCTTAGCAATAGCTAAAAGTGCTCGTGTTTCGACTGTTCCACGAATCGTTGCAACTATCCTTGCAATATTTTCCAGACTCAGCGTGCGCTTCCGGGCGTGCACTCGGCATCTCTTAAGGAGCTGGGCCGTGCTCAGTGCGAGGGATGCAATAACTGCAGCTGCTTAGGGATTTGGGGTCAGCTTTAGGTCTTAGGGTCCGAAGCCTAAACCCTAAACAATGAGTTGGCTGACGATAGGGGTAGTGGCCGGATAGTGGCGATGATGAAGGGCAGATGCTGCCGATGCCGGTGCTCTGCACCACAGTGATGCGCATGCTGTTTGTCGTGTATATATATATATATATATACACACACATCTCATATATATATATATATACACATATCATATATATATATATATATACATATTCATAGAGTCGGTAGCTGTCTTGGGTAGTGATCATGCTGCGGGCGGAAACTGAAAGAAGTGGATGGAAAACGCATCTCTATTGTGCTCTTGTTGACTGGACATGAATTGAGGTGTGCTTTCTTGTCCTGACTCCAAACTAGTGCACGGTTCTCTCCATCAGCGGCATTAATTGTGTACCTTTCTTGATGTCTGCAGCTTGAACGAAGGCGATGGCATGTGCTGATGTCGACGACCATGGTAATGGTGTCAATGATGATATTGCTCATCGTGATGGTAATGATGACGGAGCAGGCACTGCTGCGGATCACCGGCACCTTATAGCACCGGCTGTGATGGTGAGGATAACAACGATGACAATACGGGTAGTCAGCAGCCAGTCTGTCAGTCATTTGGATCGTTAGTTCGTCAGGTGATGGTAGATTGATGTCTTTATTAGCTTAGCTTGCTTGCCATTCCGGCAGTTAGTTCCCGTCAAGCTCGAGCTTGTGCTTCCGTACGTCTCTGGTCGGAAGCCGTCGCTAGATAAGTTACAGATAAGTTATACACATTATTTCGCTAGTGGGCTGGCGGGTTAGTCAGTCAGTTCGCTACTTGTGTAGTAAGTGTCGTTGCTGATCCGGTTAGTGTTCATATCCTGAAGCTAAACCCCGTATTGCACCCCAAACTCCCCTTTGGCGCAAGTTCAGAGAGACGTTTCCGAGCCCTGGGAACGGCCCAGATGCCGAAGAGTCGTGGTGCTTTTCTGCAGGGTCCAAGTTTCCTGCAGACAGGGATTAGGGTTCAGGGTTTAGGGTTTAGGGCCTATTGGCGTTAGGGTCCAGGGCTTGGGACCCCTTTTCAGAAGCGGATGTCTTTCGGGTTCAGGCAGTGAGATTGCCTTCTTGTTGCTATCGTCTCTGTTCTGTTCTGTTCTGTGCGGTCCGTAGTGCTCATGAAAGCGCGACCCAAAACTTGCAACTTAAAAAACTGTGACGGGCACCCTCACCTCTGCGCAGAAATTGCTTGGCATATGCACTAGAGGGAGGGGTCGGGCCAGGGATGTACCCAGTAGGCGAAGCCAAAAACTGTCCCGGGCCTAATTATACAAAGTGGCATGCCCTTCACGCACCTGCCATTCAAACTCTTGTCGAGGCAGAAAAGTGCAGGCACAACACTTAAATGGACCTGGCTGATTCAATTCGCCTGGTATCCCTTTTGGGTAGCGAGAACAGAACCCTGGAGCAGAAATCCACGACTACAGTAGTGACTGGTGGTGTGCACTCAGGGTAACAAACGGAAGAGCAGGACACGATCACCCGAAAGCGGAAGGTATTCCTCCAAACCGGGCTCCTGAGAGGCCATCCAAACCGCCGGAGCCCTCATCGCGGCCACAAAATACCCACAGTGACGGCGTTTACACGCATTGGGCCGCGGAAAAGGTAACCAACTGTCCAAACACAAAAACACCAAGCAGCAAGGGTGAGTGCATAATCATGTCCAAGGAGGCGAGCGGTGCAACTGCGGTTCCGCGCAGTTCCACTCAAAATGCAGACTCGCAGAATGTGGCTAGGGTCATATTCCACATTCCAGCTGGCAGCCCTACTCGGCTAAACAGACAGCAAGCAATACCTTGGCAGGTTCGTTCTTACTGGTCTGTAAATTCGAATTACCCCTCATCAGCATTTGAAGTCGGAAACTAAGCAATCCCGGAACTCCGTCACGTAGAAGCTGCTGT